TAAAATAATCATTTATTTAACAGGCAAGCTGTTGACACGTATTACATTTACAGTCTGAATTAATCTTATTTTCAAAAACCTCAATTTCATGTCGTCCTGTTAACGTTTAAGCAGGTAAGTTGGTGATCAGGTGTTTTTATTGGTGATGTTAGATAACAGGGATCGACAGATTTAGAGACTTTTTTTAAACTCCAGTCGACTCCACTCCTACCTTCGCCTTTCCGGAGGGATGTCGGTGGCGCTTCTCCACCTGGATCCAGGCGTCTGGGTCGGGTTTCGGGGCGTCTTTGGAGTCGTCTGCGGCCGGAAGTCCCGAGTCCCGGCTGGAGGAGGCGGGTTCGGCCGAGTCCTGAGGCGTCGCCGACTCCAGAGGAGTCTCCTTCACAGGTGATGAGGCTGAAAAACCCGACAAGTCGCTCAGAGTTAGATCTCAACGTGATTAGAGAAAGATTAGCTCCTTGAATATAAAAACCAACATTTTTATGACGTCCGGCTGTTGTAGAGCTAAAATGACAAGTTAACTGCCCGATTAATCAAAAATAATTTCATATTTATACAAAAAATAAGTCCTGCTAAGTATTAAAATGACAAATAATGCTTATTGTTAACATCTTTGTGTCAGTTTGGTTTGTTAAGAAGTCACATTTTGTGTTTTTTTGTCTTTTTATTTCAGTTTTAATGCCCTTTCTTTTGGTTATTATTATCATTTGTTTCCAATTTTTCACCACTGGAGCTGATTTTATCATTAGTCCAATGACTTTAAATTCACTAGAACCACTTTGTTACATACGTTTTGATATAATATACAGACTATTATATATTTAATCATATATTCCATTACTGTTGTTATTTTCTTTAACTAATTGGTCTTTTGGCTGGAAAAGACCAATTATTGACCAAAGCTGATATTAATGACGCACTTCAAACTATTCTTAACTATGTTTATTCTGTTTTGGGTTTTTTTTTTTTTTTTTTTTAATGATTAAACATTCAAAAAAGCATTTATTTGCCATCACAGCAGACAAACTATTTTTATTCCTGCTAACAAGCTTTTTTCATGCCTTCACTGTGATTTTAAACGATCTCCACATCTTTGAAAAACAGCTAAAATTTGTCATTAACACCTCTAACATACGTTTTTTGGTCTTTCCTTACGAGTTTAAGGTCATTTACAGGTCGAGGAAACATGTCGGTTAAATAAAACTTACTAATTTTGGGCTTAAATGTATGAGAGTAAAGTCCTAAATGGTGAAACTTTTTTGTAATTTCCAGGTAATTAACCCAGATTCCAAACAGCTGGCCAACATTTACAGCCACTTTACTGCGTGTATATGAACCTCACACTCCTGGATCGATCACATAATTATTAAATATTAACCGGCATGCGCTAATTTCTTATCAGATAACGCAGGTGACGCTTTATGTTTCGTCAACAAGTCTCTCGACGAGATCAAACCTGACCGTCTGTTAGTCTGTTTCTTAACACATTCTGACTTTCTTCCTTTTTTGTAACACTGAAGACATAAATCTTTAAAAAATTAGCTCAAAGGTTCAGTAATGTGAGGACAGGAGAATTGGGAGGAAACAGCATTTGATGGGGACAGTCTCCAGCTGCGATTAATCCACATTTGCTGCTCAAGTGAGTATTTGGGGCAGCAGGATGGTGTCGAGCGAGTCAAAATAAACAGTTTGTTTGTGTTGACGGCAATGAAAGGAGACGTCACCCACAGCAGGAAGTGTCGCTCAGAGTTTAGTTTTTGCACAACGATGGGGCGCGACAGCACGACGAGGCCTTGGATACATACATCGCATACTAATCGTGTTCACCCCCTTTGGAAGTTTTCCCCTTTTCATCACTTTTCAACATTGAAGCATGGTCGATTGAATTTAGCTTTTTTTTTTTTTTGACCAGAACTAAAGAAAACGGGTTTCTTTCTTGTAAAAAGAAACTTGGGCAGGTTACATGAGGATTGTAAGTTCAGCCACAAGTTCTCAGTTGGATTGAGGTCTAACTCGGCCTCCACAACATTACCCTTGTTGTCTTTAAACCATTTCTGTGGAGATTTGGTTGTTTGCTTCACATCATTGTCTTGCTAGAAAATCAACCAAATCTCAGTTCTCCTGCAGTGTCGTCACATTAGGCTCCAAAATGTTCCTATGATTTGTGGCGTTTGTTTTACCCTCTAGCTTCACAAGTTTTATAGGGCCTCCTGCTGAGAAAACAGACCCACATCATGATGCTGCCACCACCATACCATCATGATGCTGCCACCACCATGCTTCACATCATGATGCTGCCACCACCGTGTTTCACATCATGATGCTGCCACCGCCGTGCTTCACATCATGATGCTGCCACCACCATGCTTCATGTCATGATGCTGCCACCACCGTGATGCTGCCGCCGTGCTCCCCATCATGATGCTGCCACCACCGTGTTTCACGGTTGGGGGTGTTGTGTTTGGGATGATGAGTTTGGTGGTGCAAAGCAATAAAAGGGGAAAACTTGCTTTCTACTTTTTACTCCAGAAGACTTTAAATACTGACCGGAGTTTGTGGAGCTGAGCGTCTGCCGAGGGACAAACTCAGGACAGTTGATGAGCTGCGAGAAGTCGGTGCGAGGGGAACCCACGACGGTCGGGACGGCGATGGGCCAACGCTCGGGCTCCGTTTTACAGCGAACCCTGTCGTCCACCAGCTCCACTTCCGTGCTGCTCTTCAGAGCCTGCAGGGCAGAATCCATTAACACAAGGACAAAACGCCACAGTCCAGACATCTTACATTTGTCACTGAAGGCAACACTCTCAGGGGATTCGATGCGACGTTACCTCCATGATGAGGTTGATATCGGTGGTGAGGGCCTGGACTCTGTGGAAGCTAGCGATGAGGGAGATGGGGAGGAAGCCCTGTGCGTCCATTTTTCTCCTCAGGAAGAAGTCTCGCTCCAGGTTGTGGAGGCTGAAGTAGTACTCACTGGATGAAGACACATGATACGCTTAATCAGCATCGAAATCTTTTAATTTCACCCAATTACAAACAATCTTTGAGCAGTGGAGCTATCTCTTCGCCCATCTCAAACCCAACTTGTGCAAAAAGGACCCAGATTGAAGAGGTCTCACGTCCTGCTGCTTCATTGTTGACCTTTTATTTATCTTTTTAACAAATTTTGCAGCCCCTGACCCACAAAATAACCACAGACTCACAACCCCCACAGTCCCCAGAGGCGGTATCATACAAGCGTTCAGCTGTGCACACACATGCACACTAACAGGGCTACAGTCCAACCACCAGAATCTTATTTAATGGTAATTTAATACATACTAGTAGCACAATACATCAGATAAAGTAATCTGCATGTACGTAGGAGCAGCAGACTTATGGGTTTTTAACAGTTATAGCTAAAATACATCATTTCTGATTGTGCAAAATGTTGTTAGATTAAAGGAAATTATCTCGAGACCATCTTTGATTCTGTATTTTACAAAAACTGGAAAAACTTACAACATTGTTGGAGGCGTTACCAACACTGGACGACTACTTGCACTTTTAATTTGTTGACATACTTGAATTTGTATCCCTAATAGCTCTTCGGTTGTGAGACAATCTGGTGCAAACTCTTTATTTTCTGCAAATTTTCTAATTAGACATGTAGATTAAGGCGATTTTGATGAAATATTGTGATTTTTAAATTAAGATTTAGTTATTTTCCTCTTGAAATGGCACATCTCAGATGAGTAGTTCGAGGAGCATCAGAAGGCTAAACTGTTTTTTTTTCTGTTTTTACAGTTTCTAGCTCTGATAAGTTCTGTAAGTTTGGATGATTTTGCATTTCTGTTTTAAGTGGTTAAATGACCTAACATCTGGCTCTGATGCTGTTTTTAGTTTCAGAGCAAATGCCGTCTCAACAGAGAAGCCGTACAAAAACTCAACAAACTGAAATGGTGAGAATTAGACTTCAAGCAGTGACTAATCAAATGATTTTCTTTTTTTTTCTTTTAAATCCTGAGGAATCATTGAGGACAAGCCTTTACATTTTAATGATTTTGATAAAACAGAATGAATAATTAAAATTTATTTTAAGTGTCAGAGTTTGTTTGAAATCGCCAGCCGGGTTTGCGACACAAGCAGCAGAACAGAAACGAAAATTTTAAGGGGTTGAGTCTTAACCGGATGTCAAGCAGCGGCATTTTGTGAACCACATAAAACCTACGGAAAAGTCTGTAATATAAAAATCTTTAAAAGAAAATAAAAGTTTAACTCAAAAAGCATTTGCTAAATAATTTAATTCATGTAGCACCTTTTAAAGCTAAAAATAAATCAAGCATATTAATCTAAAAATCACACAATTATCTTACATTTTATGCCAAACTGTCCTGATTTTCAACATCTTGATTTTATTTTAGATTTTTGGTGCTCCAGACACATTTTGCTCCATTACTGAGATGAAACAGAAGCTTTCTGTTTACGTTATAATTGATTTTTCCCTCTAAATGGAGGATGTTCTGACTGGACCACCACCACCAAACCCAGACTGGAAGAGCTCCCTGTCTGCGTCCGTCACACCACTTAAAGTCACGGCGGCGTGCTTTCAACCACACACACTGGTCGGCATGTCGAGCTCAGCCTGCAGGCAGCCAGGAGTCGCTTCTCGTCGGCTGACTGAGCAGCCTGAATAAAAGCGAGGAAGACGAGAGCGAAGGAGACAACGGTGGCCCTTCTTCCTCACCCATCACTCTCGTTTGGGTTTTTTGTTTTTTTATTTCCCTGCTCAGGCCTGCGTATAATTCATGGTCTGTCCCCTCCGAAGCACTCAGACTATATTTAGGAGCTCACCCCACCCTCACCCTCCACCGTTCTGATCTGTAATGAGGCCAAAGCTGGGAGGCGGCTCGGAGGAGGCGGCTCGGAGGAGGCGGCTCGGAGGAGGCGGCGCTGCCCCCTGCAGGAGGTTCACCGACCGGTTGCTGCTTATCAGTAAATCTTGAGTTAACCGTTAAACTTTGCACGAGCTGGAGGCGGAAATCTGACTGAAAGTTACCACATTTTTCTTGTCAGAAGTCGTTTTCAATCAGATTAATGTGAAAAAGATCAAAGTTTTGTTACCCGATGCACTAAAAAGTCAATCTAGTAACTATGAATTTCAGTTTTTAAAGCACTTGAAGGACTGAAGCTGCCTAAAATGCATTTATTATCAGATCTAATCGTGGCAGATTCATTATACCGGTTCAAAATGTATTAAAGCTTTGACATCTAACAAATATTTCAGGTATTAGGCCGAAAAAAATACATTTTAGTCCCACGCTGGGCCTTCAATGTCATATTTTTTTGCATACATTTTCCTATTTTATGTAGTAAGGTTACAAGAAATCTAATTTTAGGAGCACCTGAGTCCCACAATGGCCTAAAATGCAATAAAACTTATCAGGAAATCTTATATTTTCTCACACAAATTGTCTTTCTGCATCATTTTTCTTATTCATCACACAAAATCCAACATAAAGCAAATATTTATGTTTGAAGGCTACAAAAAATAACACTTTTAGGAGCGCTTATTGCATTAAAGTGGCCTTTAATGCAGTAAAATGTATGAGTAAATCTTATATTTTCTTGCATAAATTTTCATTTTGCATCATTGTACCTCAATAATCACGTACAAAATCTTAAATAAACCAAATATTTTACATTCTCCGGCAAAAATAACCGTATTTTAGGAGCACTTGATTCCCACAATGGCCTTAAATGCAGTAAAATTTATCAGGAAATCTTACATATTCTTGCATTACTTTTCCTTCTGCATCATTTTCCTCATTAGCCACAAACAAAATCTTAAATAAAACAAACATTTAAGGTATTGAGGCTCCAAAAAAATGTCCTTTAAAGAGAGACGGAGCCCCACAATGGTGTTTAATTCTTAAGTTTTCTAGCATACATTTATGTCCCCCTTCTCTACATTAAGGAAAATCTAATCATTCTTTTTATTTGCATTTTATTTACCTTTTCATTTTACAAATTAACTGGTGATTCCTTTGGATTTTTTTTGAACATGGTAACAGAAAAAAGCTGATGTTTGTTTGGAAGTGAACGAGAACTTTTTTTGAGAATGTCAGCAGGGAGAAGTCTTAAACATTGTTTTAAAAGTGACTTAAATGCTTCATTGATTATCAAATCGATGCAGTTATTATTTATAAGAAGGCAGCCAGAAACTAGGCAAGGAAAATATGAGAAAAATGGAAAAAAATAAAGCAATAAAAACGAAATAATCTACTATCAAACGTGCTGCTAATTGATGAAAATGAGGGTGCTACGTATCACAGATTTATTTTTTTTTGTTCAGTGCAGAAGTCTTTGGGTAAATTAACTTTATTAAGGTCTGATAGCAAAGTTATTGTTAATGTGAGTAATAATAAATTAAGGCTCTGGTCAAACTCCATCATCGTAATGATCAAAGGGAAATAAACTCATAAATGACAGAGTTCTGTATGAGACCTTCTAGTTACTTTGGTATAATTCCTCAGTTCTTTGTAGATTTGTCCCGTGAACGACTTACATTTGCCGTTTGATGTACTCCTTGAGGAGCTTCTCGTCCACCGTGTACATCTGGACCTTGCTGCCGTCGTCGTAGTAATAAACCATGTTGGTGCCGAACTCTGTGGGGACCTGAACCGAACCGTCGGACGACTGAGAGTCCCGGAAGCCCACAGAGTATTCGTACCGGCCTGCAGACGACAGAACAGAACAGAACAGAACAGAACAGTGAGGCGCTGAGGAACCGAGGCCGAAAGGAAAACGTGACTCAAAGCTGAGCTGCAGCAAAGATTGTTGATATTTTTAAAAAGCAAACTCAAGACTTTCCTTCTAAGCTGATTTCTGGTTGATGGTATTCATTTAATTATTAATGGGTTTGTTTTCTCTATTTATTTTAAGTTTATTTTACTTTCATTACTTTACTTTTTTTTTTGTTGTTGTTGCTATTTTTCTTTCAGGAATTTTAAATCTTATATCACTTTTAATTCTTTTCTTTTGTAAATATTCACTCACATTTTAGTCAGTTGAATAAAAGGAATTGAACTTAAACTATTTTCTTTTTTGTTACATTTTAGTCTTACCTTTAATTACATCACTTCAATTTTCTTTGCACTTATACATTTTTATTGACATTTAAGTCCATTTTATAGTTCAACCTTTCGTTATTTTACTTTTATTAATTTTTACCTACACTTTAGTCCATTTGATCCATCTTTTACTAATCATTCTATTATTTTATTTTGCTTTTATAATTTTTTACTTACATTTAAATCCATTTTATTTATCTGTTGTAGCCTAACTTTCTTTTTTTTTTTTTACTTCTGAGTTTTGACTGAGTTTAGTCCATTTAATCCATCTTTTATCAATCATTTTATATATTTTGTTCTGCTTTCATGAATTTATACCTTTATTTTTTTTGTGTCTACTTGATGTACTTTTTATTAGTCTTTATTTTTTTCCATTTATCAATTTCTAAACTACATTTTAGTCTATTTTATCTTTTATTTTCTTATTTTTTCACTTTTATGAATTTTACTTACATTTTAGTTTTTATCTTTCATGACTTTTTTGACTTAAATTTTAGTTCATTTTTTCAATCTTTAACACGTCACTTTTTTTTATTATTGTCTATTTTGCTTTTATTTTTCATCTTCAGGTCACGTTTATGTCTGTTGGATCAGCGTCCTCACCTCGTCCACGTCCTCTCCCGCGTCCGCGACCTTTTCCTCGACCTCGTATTCCTCCACGAACGCTGCCGCCGTCGCTCCGGACGCTGGAAGTGTCGTCGCCGTAATCCCGCGGTTCTCTTCTCCAACCTGCGAACGAGAAAAGTCGGATTGTTCGAGTGTTTCACGTAGCGGTTCGTCTCTGGTGAAGTCTGAAGACGATTTACATTTAAAGCTATACAGAACTTAAAATAAATTAGCAGCTGAACACAAACAAAATCCTTCTTAACGTTAAAATAGCGATTTTATTTATCTGTTGTGGCATTTTCATCTTCAATATTTTTCATTTTCCTAAATGTGGGAATGCCACAATACCTCAACTGAACACACAGAGGAAGGAACACGAGCAATCAGATGATCTTCAGTTTAGTCAGATTGTGTAAACAACCTTCAGCTCTGATAAAACGCACGACGGCAGCTTTCTTCAGCGCCGGTCGACTGTTCTCAGAGTTAGAAGTTCAGGAAATTATTCCCTAGAATCGGAGCTGAAGTCTTCTTGTTTTGTTTAGAACCACAATAAATTTGATTTTAAATAATTTACAGCGAGAAAAAGTCGTAGTTTACTATTTTAAGACGATTAAATCTTTGGCATTTTGGCTCATTTAAAAAAAAAACTAAAAAACTTTTATTTGTTTTATTTTATTTACAGAGTCTCACTGAGAATAAAAGTTTATTCTACAAGAGCATCCTGGCAGTAAATAGTTAAACCTTAATTTTAGGTCGATTGATTGATTAAATAACAAACTTATGGTTTTAACTCTAATCACACATAACTGCATCTGAAAAATGTGGCTTTTAATCATCTTTTGCAGAAGAAAAATGGTCTAAATTAAGTCAGCAAGTTGTGTAAAATGGAGTTTATTTAAAATCTGTGTGAACATATGATGACTTATTTTCCTTACTAAATGCTCCTCTAATCTAATTAGGAATTAAATTTGACACCAACCGTAGTTTTTAAATATCCATTTCTAAAATCTAAAAACTACGGTTGGTGTCAAATTTAATCAAAACTGGCAAATAAAGAATCATTTAAAAAAAAACAAAAAAAAAAACGCTATGAATATGAAATTTTCTGCATTTTACTTCTTCAAAAACTCATGAATTTGCTTGTTTAAAATTAAATTCAACCTTTATTTAATCGGTAAAGTCTAACTAAGATTAAAAATTAAGAGGAGGGCCCTTAAGAGTGTAATTAATCACTGATTAAAACAGTTTTTTAACTTACAGTTTTAACTCTACTCACAAGTGGGCGCATCAGATTTATTATTTCCTTTTGAAGAAAAACTATAAACTATAAGAATAAAGAAGTGATATGTTTTCTCAGGAAGTATTTATGTGTAATCTCTGTATCTACAAATAGTTAAATATATTTAAATATATCCATATTCTTGCTATCTATATCTGTGTGTGTCTATTTGTTCTTCAAATTTTAGTATTGCTGACTCAAAAGGACAGTCGGCATCTTCACTCTCAGGTCAAATCACTCTTTTCTAAACTGTTTTATTTCTTTCTTTCTGCTAATTAATTTGGATTATTTAAAATCTATCTGGTTGCTTATCGTCCTCGTCTCGAATTCTCTGCGTCTAGACGTCAGAATTAAAGTTAAATGTCATCAAAATTGACAAAAATAGTTAAAAAGAAATGAAATAATTTAAAAATAAAGCACAAGTTGAAGGAAAAATTAGTGTACAGAAAGGCTCCCATTAGTGACGTGTATAACTGGGTCTTATTTACAATCTGTGTGCCCATCCGATAGCTTATCTTCCTTCTCTCTAGTGGAGTTCAGTTCTCTACCTAAAGAACTAAAGTCAACAGGAACACAAAACCTACATGAACACAAAATGAAATGATGTGAAAACAAAACCCAGGGTGTTGGAAAACCTTTTTTTAAGAAACTCTTGTGAATTGAAAGGCTGTGAATCACGTCTGATGCAAGACGACTGAGCCAGAGGTCATGCTGCCTCTGTGCCGTGCATTAAAAAAAAAGGGAAAACAGCTGCCGCGAAAGCACGCGAGCAGCGCAGGGGAGAGTGGTGAGCAAACACGAGGCGATGTTAGCGCTAGGAGAGCAAACAGCAAAAGCAGACACTGAAGGCGTGAAGACGGGGAGCTTCTTTCCACTTACTCCTGCTGCTATCATGCGCTCTGCTACTATGGAGCGTTTGATTGGGCGACGTGGGGTCGGGCGAGTCGCTGCCGGTGTCCCCGCCGGGCGTCTTGTCGCCGTCGTCCCGGGACGCCTCCTCCAGCGGCAGAGAAACCCACTTACGTTTGTTACCTGGCGATGATTGCACACCGGAAACAGAGCTTGAAGAGTTTTGGCCCAAAACGCTCAAACATCATCAATCTCTGAGATAAAAGATCCTCACGTTGACATAAATCTCTTTTTTTTTTTAAGTGACCAAAAGTAAAAAAATGTGCATTCTGGGGCAGCTGGACCCAACACAGAACACCTCATGTTGGACTGTTATGGATTAAATGGTGTTGAATGTGAAAGATGAATCACAGGCAAAAATGTAGAATATGTCAATTTAAAAAATAGAAATGACACTAAAATGCTTTCTAATAATACTGAAATTCATATCTAACGTATTATTTGTCAACCAACCTTACTTTTATGGCTTAAAGAATGAGAAATAGCGAGCTGGCTGATGTGTTTCCATGCTGAATTTTCTAAGATGTGCAATAAGATGTAGTATAAAGCCCTCAAATGTCATATTTATTATTATATTTAGGACAAATTATCATGTGGAGTTCACAAATCCCAGTAAAATTACAAACTTCTCCATGGAGGCTGCCAGTTTTTAGTTTTTATTGCTAAGAGATTTCTCTACAGTTAGCATAAGGTCAGACTAGCTTAGAATGAATACTGGAATCAAGTGGAAACAGCTAGCTTAGCTTTGTCTTAAGGCAATAACATCGTACTACCACCACATCTAAAGCTCCCTGACCAATTAAAGACATTAAACCCCCCCCCTTTGTTTTTTTGATAAGACATGCAAAACTAAACTGTAAAGGAATTATTTTTGGTTTGTCAGTGGGTTTGTTTTAGGACTGTTGTGTTCAGCTCGACAGGTCGGTCGATAAACTGTCATCAAACCAAATTCTCACTCTTATAAAACTCTCGAGTAGTTGTAAAGCAGGTACAATTTCATTTCACAACAATGTTCTTGGTTTTACGACAAGCACATTTGTTTTTTGGAGGAAATAAAGTAGTTCAAACGTGATAACGGTCGGCTTTAGCGGTGCTGCTCGGTGGATTTTGTTGTCATCTGATTGAGGCTGTGTTTCCATATTTCCATTCTTTTAGCCAAGCTAGGCCAACTATAGCTTCCCGTATATTTAATGGCTTTAATCCTTTGATCAAACTCTCAAAATGTCAAACGATTCCCTTTAATTAATTGATTTTAAGGGTATTTGGTTTAATCTGAAACTGGTTTAGGATGAATGTCTTGACTTTAAAGTGAACATGAAGGTAAAGTTAAAAGCTTGAAGTCACATTTGACATTTGATGGAGCCTGGAAACGTCTATCTGATAAAGAAAACTGCGTAATGTGACCGAAAGCTCCAGAACATCCACTAAAAGGACCTCATACTAGGACTGATTTGTCCACTTATGACATACACCATTTGTACCACTGTTATATCTTACATGACTTACAGTGTAATTACAGCTTTACCAATATAATGCATCTAATTAACAAAACTTGACACATAAATCCCATAATTGTTTATCGTTATGTAATTTTGTGCAGCTCCAGAGTCAAATTTTACATTATTAAACCAACAATTCTGAAGGATTTTGCATTTCTGGCCAAGTTTTCTGAGTAATCTTAAAGTCAAAACACATTTTAACATTTTTTTTGACATCTTTCATCTCATTTTGGAACAAAACTCTTCACTTCATCTCCGGTTGAGACACTCATGAGATGATGAAGTGCCTCCACACAAAGAGCACAGATCGGTGCCTGAGCACTCGTGAGATGGTCCCAGCAGAGCATGCACCAATCTCCACCAACCACTGATCAATACGGTTATTGACATGCAGCAATCAACAACACAACTCGCTGCAGTCGAGTGATCAAAAACAAACATGCACGTCAGGATTTAGGTGGATTGGTCGACTGGTGGCGGCGTTTTATAAGAGAACTAAGGAGATGGAGGATCTGACGAGACAGCGATGGAACGATTTGAAATCAATCAGTGGTGATTCACGATTGTCATGCGTCATCCAAATAAAGAATCTCCTCACCCTCACCTCCTCTCTTCTTCAGGCCGGCGCTCTTGGAGTCCTGAGCCGCCTTGGAGTCCCCGTCTTTGGGCAGGTCTCCCAGCGGGTCCAGCTGGGCCTCCTGGTTCTCTTTGCTCTCGCCTCCATCGTGGCTGCTCTCGGACTTCCTGTCCGGTCGCTCTCTTCTCTTGTCCTTCTCGCGGCGGGAAGACGGAGGCTTCTTACCGTTGTTGTTGAGGACGTTTTGTTGCTGCTGGAAGAGAAAATGAAGCGACACGCGGTCAGACTCACACGTTTGGAAGACTTTTTATTCTTCATTCTGTTGGATCTGCTTGTTCTCTGCACTCAAACACTCACAGACGCAAACAAATACAAGTTTTAGACACAATTCAAACACTTAAAAGTCTAGATTTGCACCAACTAAAGTCCTTTTTAACTATTAATACTTAAAATCTGTAAAATCAATGAAAAGCTTCATTGCAAAACTGCTTTAGGACACTTTCAAACTCCACTTTTTATGTATTTCCAAGTTTTTCAAAGCTTTTTTGTTGTTGTTTTTGCTTTTTTGAAATCTTAAACTAAAAAGAAAATAAATCAGACACTTGGTTTAGTCTTTTTTTTTGGAGCTGGTTTCAGCTTCTCAAATGTTCCAATCTGCTCCATTATTACGGCATTATTATATTATTATTATTATTATTGTCATGACATTAAACTGAATATTTCTGTGTTCTGGACAGTTATCATTTTAGACAGACATTATATTTAAGGCTGTATATAATATGTTATAATAAAATCTAATGAGAAGAATTATTATTACTAGTAGTGATGACAGGATTAATTCAGAGATATCTATAAGGAACACCTTTATTTTAATCTATTAAATCTTATATTTCTTACAGAAATCGGCAAAATTCTGTTTAGTTTTTTAGTTTCCACTTTTTTTGGGCCAGTTTACTCTAATAATCTCAAACTTTTTTGACCAAAAAATGTTCTCTAGTCGATTTTAAATCAATTTAAACATTTAGAAATACCTCCGACTAGAACGCTAAAGTTATATTTCCACTGCTGTTAATGTGGTTTTATACAAATGTGGAAAGTAAATGTCAGTTTGCATTTTTTAGAAGGAGCCAAGTTGAGTTTTAAGCCTTTATTTAGTCAAATATAACATTTAAAAATTGTGAAATGTTTATGTAAATGATTAAAACAGATTATATCTCATGTTCTATACAGACAATACAAAAAGAAATATATATTTTTTTATTGGTATATACGACTACTGAACTCAATAAATGCTTTTTTTATCGTAATAAAGTTTTACAGCTTTAACACCATCTTATTTTTTCCTGGATTTCCTTCACGTCACACTTTGCTTCTGGAGTTTTCTGTCATGACTGAACCCGTTTGGACGTTTCTAATCCACATCACTGCTTCAGCTCTCTGCAGAGTGAACTCCTGCATGTTTTTAGTGCTCCATCTAGTGAGCACAAACCAGAAAAGCTTCCCAGAGCAGAAAACAAGCACAGGTTGTGAGTTCAATTCACAAAAACGCAGTAAACTCACGCGTCCCACCGCTTCCCGTACCTCTTTGGCCAGCTCTCCGGGCGTGGGCCAGTTTGTGATGTCGCTGAAGTCACTCGACTGTAAAGAGAAAAAGGGACACAAACAAGGACAAAATGAGCGTTTCAGCGTTCAGGAGTCGACCCCTGGCGATCGGGGAAGGCTTCGGTCATTTTAACGGCGCAGGAAAAGGAGGTCAGTGCTCCGTCTGTGAGGAAACTGCAAACAGCGACGATAAACAGGCCACGGGAGTCACTTTCCAGCAGCGGGAATGTTGTAAATGTGGACAAACTGATATGAGATCAAGGTTAGCTAGACGACAGGCTTAAAGAGCAAATAGAAGTGCAATACCGGCGTTTCAAATATACATACTGTGTGCACTCTACGTCACACGTCTGGTAAATTTCACCTAAATCACGAATATAAATGTTGGTGCACTTTAATTTTGCACGTAAATCTCATCTCCATAGCTGTACATGGCAGCTTATTAAAAGGTATAATTAGCAGCTTTTTGTGAATATTAATGACATTTAACTGAAAATCTTTGTGTTTCGGACATTTATCGTTCTAATAATGATCAGATTAATCCTTAATAAAAAATAATTACTAGTGGCAGCCCTAATTCTGAGATATTTATATGTTTAAACAAAAATGTGTCAAAAAAAAAAAATCAAATTGATCCAATTATGTTCAGTTTTAATTGTATTTTCTGACATTATTTTTCTTATAATCTCAAACTATGTTCTCAAGTAAACTACGCTTAATTTTAAGGACAAACAGAATGCAGATATTTACTCAAAAAATTAGAAATTACATTTTTTGGTGAACATTAATGACGTTAAACTTGAATATCTTTGTGTATCTGACTGTTATTATTTAAATAAATGACCAATGTCTAATAAAAATTAATAATAATTTGGAGCAATTTTAATTCTGAAATATCCTGAAGTTAAAAAAAAAAAGTCTGTTTTTGGATAAATCCTCAAATCTTTAAACAAATCATCAACGTTATATTTAATTTTTACTGTCGTTTCCTTTATTTTTATTTAAGAATCTCAAACTCAGTTCTCAAGTAAATACTGCTTAATTTTAAGAATATACGCTGTAGTTTTTTTGATTTTAAAAAAAAAGGACAAATTTTGGCTTTTTAGTCGATTTTTAAGTAAATTAAAGCTACAAAAACGCCTCCAAACAATCCTAAATTTTGCACCAAAGATCTGGTTTACTTTAAACAAATCTACAGATGTACACAGTAGGTTCTCAAATGTTCTATTTTGCTGCTGTTTCGCTGGATATTTATCACATTAAACTTAATATATTTGTGTTTCAGACAGTTATATCGATAATAAACACCTAATAAATACAATTATAAGTGGCTGCCTAAATTCTGACAGATCTACAAGCACTTTTTTGTTGTTTTTTTTGGTTCTTTTCTTACATTTTTCTCCAATAATCTCAAACTCAGCTCTTAAATAAATACTGCTTTATTATAAGGACACACAAAATGTTGGTTTTTGGTCAAAGAAATGATAAATTTTAGTAATTTAAACAAACAAAAACACCTCCAACCACCATAGTCTCTGGCTGAACATAGTCGTAGTTTCTTCACATTCTTCTCAAATGTTGTATTTTTCAGATTTTTTGTGGATAGTAAAATGAATATCTTTGCATGTTGGATGATTATTATTCTAATAGTCAGCAGGTTAATCCATAATTAAAACAATTATTAGTGGCAGCCTTAATTGTGAGACATCTACAATAACTAAAACAAAAAACTACACATTTAATTAAAGTTTAGTCTCATGTTAGATCATACAATAAAACATATATCGGTTTAATTTTCAGGATGTTATTTGGCAATCCTTGGATTATTCCCATATTAATTGTGTGATAATGAATCGATCGACTCGTCCTAACAGCACAAGAATACGTCAGAATTTATTGTGACTCGTCACCTCAGACACATGACTTTGTGAAAATGTCAGCAGGTTGCATTCTGGGTCATCGGGCTCCATAAAAACACGCCGTATGTGGCAATATTAATACCAGCCAACTTAGCGTGTGCCTCTGACTACATACATGACATTAAAAGACCTAAAAATAACCTAAAACGGTGTAAAAACCCCTCAGCGGATGGACAGAGCCGAGGCTTCACAATCATCACCGGCGTTTGAAAACAACATTCTGACCTTTTTAAGATTTTTTTCGTAGCATCCCCCCCCCCAGGCAGTAACTTCACGCTACTGCGGAGGGAAAAACTGGTTGGAAAAGCAAACAAAACCACAGAACAGCAGCTCGAACCACCTCGCATTTGGCCGGCAGCAGATGTCAAGTTCTCATCCTGCATGTCAGAACCTGGCAAGAAGCTGCAGCGGTGAAAGACGAACATGTGAACGCACCGGAGAGCCAAACATGCGATGCCAGAAACGTGCCTTTTTTATTTCTTTTTTTTTTTTTGCAAACTCGATTAAAAAAATTGTACATCAGCAGAGACGTGAAACAGACCAAAGTGGCAACATGTGCTGATTAATTAGAGGGATTTTCCAGTGCAGGGGAATTTCTGGTGCCCTTGCTAAAGTTTCTTTTGGCCAGAATCAACGATAAAAAAAATATATTTTAACTGGTTTTGTTCGTTGGAGTTTCATATAAAAACACATGAGACATTTTTGTTCTGTAAATGGTCAGAAACAGCAAGAAAATTATTAGATTTTTAGCCAATGGTGCGCTCTGTTGAGCCCATTCTGAGCTGATTTAGTGTTTCTTTGGGATTAATTATCGAGATCTATAAATCTAAGATGCTAATGTAGATTTAAACTTTAACCCTCTGAACCTCAAATAGCCCCGGCAGGTTTAAAAGGCACATCCTTTTAATGAAGAAGTGACTGAAACTACACCATTTATCACCATAAAACAGTACGAATCATTGGATTTTCAACTTATAGACAGTCCTCGAACACCTCATTCCATCTGGGAATTAATTTAATCTAAATTTAATTTAACTCTGCAAGCCTCGTTTAAAAAAATTTGCCAAAAATAAACCATTTGCACGAAACAGACTCTGTGAAAACTAAAAAATTACGTGGCACTTGGTGCAAACCTGAAGCCATTAATGACTCAAAAGCGACCAACACACACTTGTTAAAAATTCTGAGACTTTTCAGCTCAACTGCAGGCAGTGTTTACACAGCTCAGAGAGAAGAAATTAAAAAGATATATATTTATCATATGATAAGTTGCTATTTCTCCCAGTACTGGTAACACATGTAGGAAGAATATTGTACGTGTTCATTTCAGGTTAATTATCAGAGTCATAAAATCGAAAAAAAGAGAAAGAATGACTGGATTTTCAGCTTTCAGAGCGTCCTTGAACACCTTTACTCATCAGGGAATTATCTAAAATTCTAACTCTACTGTGATATTTCATCTAAATCCCTTAACGCTGCACAAGTCATTTAAAATGTGTCCAAAAATAAACTGTTTGCAGTAACTACATTCTGTAAAAAACACAAAAAACAAAGTGCAACTGGGTGCAAACTAGAGCCACTAGTGACAAATCAATTTATTCTGCATCTCGTTTAAAAATTTGCTAAAAACAAACCGTTGGCACTAAACAGGTTTTGTAAAAAAACAAATATTTCTGCGCTTCTGTGGGAAAACATAAAGCCATTAATGACTCAGCTGGGACCAACAGCCAAGTGAGGAAAATTCAGAGTTTTCGGTTGAACTGCAGGCAGTGTTTACACAGAGCAGGTAAAAAAACCAAGTACAGAAACTAATTGAACATGCAGTAATTTAAGTAAAATAAATGCTCAAAGAAATTTGACTTTAATTCTTTCTTTTTTGTGTAATTTATAAGTCTATCATACTGCACAAAAGACGTGTTTGAGTTCTCTCTACTGTTTCCACGGACACAGAAATATAAAAACTACATATATTTTTTAAATTATGGTTAATAGTCAACTGACAGAAAAAAAAAATCATCATCATAATCAAGCAAAAACTTGCAGCGGTTTTTGCTTTATTGTGACTTAATATCTGGTGAATATAACGCAGCTAACACTTGCCTTGTCATTTATCAAGTGAAAATACAAATAGTTTTACACCTGAAGCTCTAAATGTGCTTCATTTTAGTGGTTAAATTTAAATTAGTTTGTTCTGTTTTCATGCTGCTATTTTTTACGTTTGAAAACTATCTATTTAAAAATTATTATAATTAATCGTGAAGCAACAGTAAATTATTTTGCTTTCGCTGTCAAACCCGAGTGGACCTGAGTGCGGTGGAAAAATGCTGAATAAAAAGGTGAAACTGCTCGAGGTTCAGAGGGTTAAAAAAACAAAAACACACGACAGAGAAGTGAAGGAGCGTTACCTTGCTGGATTTTCTCGTTCTGGGTTTGCTCGCTCGGACGACTTTCAGGGCATTTTGCTGATCTGCAGACACAAAATCAATAAGTGAGATTGACAGCTTCATATCTGCAGGCGGTTATACAGTAAATCCAAAGAGCTTCAGTGGTTTTTTTCTCTTTTTTAAAAAAAAAAAACAACAACAGTCAGGCAGGTCGCTCAACCCTACAGCTGAAAAGTCGTGTGTTTGGGAAGCATTTGGGAATTTTCTGTCAGCACACAACAATGAATAAATTTACAGGCCCCCCTCCGCCCCCAGAGGAGAACTCGTCGAGGGTGTTTTGTGTACGGCTGGGAGTGGCAGCCATGACGGGGCCTATCGCTCGCCAGAGGATGGTCGGATTGATAAGGGCTTCTCGAGGCTCTCCACACGAAGCCTGCAGACGTCCACCCACAGCGCTGGGTCGTACAGTAGAGCTGTAAAACGATGCCGGAGTTTCAAATATAGCTCCCGGCCGCCGCTCTGACACACATTCATAACTCAAACCGAGCGTCTGAAATCAACAAAGCGGCTGTTTTAATTCGGAAACTGACAATCAGCAGATGAGGATTGACTCGTTTGAAATGATTAGAAAGTTAATCAATCCGACGCCGATTAATCAAAGGACGCTCCACCTGTTCACTACTACATTCCCATTGAATTGGGGCACATTGAAAAAGATCATTTGCAGATATCTTCATTTTTTACTCCACAAAACTCTTCCCCTCCCTTCCTGATTTACATCTTTCAAACTCCACAACCCCGCTTTGTAATGCAGGCATTCAGCCAAAAATGTTAAGCTCGGAGGCAAAACTACGACACCAACAGGCCTGTCGTGGGTTTCCACAGCTGTCTACACGAGTCAACTCAACTCCATGTGTGAAATTAGTTAAAGCAGCCGTAATTTAGCGGTTTATCGAGTAAAACTATAAAGAGTTTGCTTCTTTCTAGTGCTTCAACGCTTCAGATTGTTCGTTCCTTTAATTTTCGTGTCAAGAGTTGAGAGAAGGTTCATGTTTTGGTTTGTTTTGTTGTATTATTTGCACAACTATAGATATTTTTTTAAAACTACAATTGCTCGTCAACTCACTGCCAATTCTTTGTTCATAATTCTTTTCACAAAGATTTAATCGGGTCCTCTCCTGTCACATCTGTTTTGTTCTGGTTTGCTGCTGCTAGAAAAACAAATCTTCAAAACTATAATTAATAGCGCATCAACAGAAAACTCTTCTAACAAACTATTTCTGTTTTCATCAGGCGCTTATCAAATCTGAGATGTCGCATCATTATGAAGTGACTATATTTGGGGTTTTTTTTAGATGTTGGTTGGATGAAATGAGTCACAGCGACACTGGACAAGATCAACTATTGAATCATGAACAGTTTTGCTTAAAAAAAAATCACAAGTTTTCTGTTACTGACTAACTGGTTTCAGTTCCAACTACAAACTAATCAGTTGTCAGTTCTTATATTGCTCACCAATTATCTTAATCAATCGGTTGGAGCAGTTTGTTTTAAAACAAATAAAGCTAATTTCTTTGATTCCATCTCCTTAAATGTGAATATTTACTTGTTTATTTCTTCCTCTCTTACAGCAAATTACATCTTTGGACTGTGAACAAAACAAGACATTTGTTATCCTGGACTTTTCCCCCTTTTATCAGACCTTTAAAATGTAAAAAACTAATCACTTAATCAAGAAAATAATCAACAGATTAATCAACAATGTAAGTAATCAGTTACAGCCTCAAATATTTTAGGTTTAAGTTAAATTTAATTAATTCATTGGAGAAAAACTATATCTAAAAATGCTTTGAGTATTTTTTTCCACAAAAAAAAGTCTTACTTCTCTGATTCAAACTTCCTAAATTTGCATATTTTCCAGTTGTGTAACTCCTCATTTTCCCCCATATTGTTGATTAACATCTGAATTATTTTTCTCAATAATCTGTGAGGTGTTGGACATATAAAACTTCACAAAATGGTCAAATGTGCCAAGAAACGTCTAGTTTCATCTACAACCCCAAAGACAGCAAGTTTATCGTCACAGAGGAGGAAAGAAATAAGAAAATAATCACATTTAGGAGGCTGCAGTTGGATCATTTTGACTTGTTTTCTTTGGAAAACACTCAAAGCAATTAATCAATTAGCAAAACAGTTGGTGTTCATTTTAATAACTGACAATAAACTTAATATCTTTGGGTTGTGGACGAACATTTTCACCATTTTCTGACCTTTTATACAGACAACAGCTAATTGACTGATTAGGAAAGCAATTAAAAGATGACAATAATCATAAGCTGCAGCTCTATTTGTTATTTTTCTTCATTATAAATTTTTAAAAGTGGGATTTTTAAACTTCTGAAGCAGTTTTTCTGCCAAATCCCATAACTGAGAGCTGGATTCACCCCAAAGCAGATATCACGATTGGTTTACAGCCCTAACTCACTTTATCTTCCCCACCTGTTCTACCACCTTGTCCACATACTTGTGCTTTCACTAGTGACAGTGGGGAGCTGGCTGGTGGGAGGAACTGCAGGCAGAAAGGCCATTGGACATGCAAAACGTGCCTTCACAGCAGCTAGCCTGGCTGCCTTAGCCTCATCTTGCTATGAGTCAACCCTGAAGCGCACAAGCTCCACGTTTGATATTTGGCTCCATCTGAGCTTCTCCCGCTGCTCCGTGGAGCCCCTTACGCCCGCTCTGGCTCTCTGTCGGCGGCGTTTGCTGGCAGCTGGGAGCCGCGGCACGGTTAGCATGGAGCAGCTAAAAGAAGTAGCAGTTGTCAGCAATCAACACGTGGTGCTCCGGAGCAATCCGAGCACGCAGAGGGGGATGGGGGGGCAGACATGGCACCTCCAGCACGGCTCCACTGTCCTGACATTCACGTCCATGCACCTGATTTTGACTCGAAATTAACCCAGAATGAGCTGCGATCGGCGGATTTATTAAAGAGGCTGTCAAAAAAACACAGGGGGCTGCAGCTCCAGTGCGCATGCGGGGGGAGCGTGTTTGGTTTAATGTGTGTAAATGCGAGGAAATATTAATAATAATAATGCTCATAATAAAAAAAACGAAAGGGTTGCTCACCTTTCTCCTGGGAGATGTTGTTCACCGGGACTCTGCCCGTCGTCCTCTTCGTCCACGGGTTCACTTTCGGCGGAGGAGCTTCCACAACTTTCCTCTTCACCGCCTCGACAGCCGAGTCAGCGCTTTGGTCGTTCTCTTTATCGTTTTCTTTGCATTTCTTGTGCGTGTCCGCGGGGCTCCTGGCCGCCTCGGAGCCCTGGCTGTCCGCCGGTTGCTTCTCGGAGCCCCTCTGGCCCGGTTCTTCCTTCTCTCGCCCCTCGGACTTGTTTTGGTCGCCCGAGCTGCTGGCCGCTGTCAAACCCGAGTCGACCTGACTGCACTCAACCTCTGCGGACATCCTGCTAGTTTCCTAACAGCCGCGCGGTGTTAAATCCAGGGTGATTTTTTGGTCCTTGCTCTCTTATCCCAGAGAAAAGTCGTGAAAAGCTCGGGGGGTGACCACATCCACAACTCGGGGTAAACAACTTTTTTTTTTTTTTTTTTTTTTTTTTGGGCTGGACCTCGCCAGCTAAGCCAGCTAGCCGAGTAGCTCCTGCAGGCTAACTGTTAGCTAGCTAGCGACCATGCAGAAGTCCGCGAGCCCCGAGCGGCTTTAAATTTAGCTTTTTTTCCACTTGAAGCGACTTTCTCATGCCAACAAACAGCTACCTCGGAGTCCGGAGTTTGTCACCATGCGAACGGCGCCGGTCGAGTCGGTTCTCCTGCGACTTTCGGTAACTTTTTTCTCAACAAGCTGCTACAGCGACCTCCTCTCGGTGCGGCTCCGGTTTCAGCTCCACGCTACCAGCCCGGAGCTCGTGCAGCCTGCTGCTGGGTGGCTGTAAACAGTGACGCTGCTGCCCCCAGCGGCCGCACGGCGCCACTACAGCGCGCACACAAGACACGACCATATACACGACTGGAGGTTATTTTTACTTGAGGGAATAAATATAAAACATGCAATTAAATTTTGAAGAAGTGAATCTATTAGCTGCTGCATGTCTGAAGGACGCTAAACTGAACATCTTTGGGTTGTGGACACATAAATTACTTGAGAAACACAGATTTTTCATTCATTTCTAGGAAATCAGGAAAATAATCAACAACAATAAAAAGTAATTGTTAGCGGGAGCCTTAGTTGCTGCTTTTTTCTATTATAAGTTACTATGACTGATAATTTTTTAAATCAACATTGAGAAGAAGAAGGGCATATCAGAAGTATGCTTTAAAACAGGGGTGTCCAATCCTGGTCCTCGAGGGCCACAATCCTGCATGTTTTAGATGTTTCCGTCTTCCAACACACCTGATTCAAATGATCAGCTCATCATCAAGCTCTGCAGAAGCCTGATAACGATCCTGATCATTTGAACTCCTGCTGTAAAACAACATACACATAACACTCTTTTTCAAATATATAAGAATGTAAATATTAGGATAAGTTAATCCATTAAAACATAGAGCAGTGCAGCTGTACAGACATCAGTAAAAATAATAGTAAAGTAAAATAAACAAAATAAGTACTGTTGATTGTTTTACAGATGCTTCTTTTAAGAATTTCTTTGGGATGAACAAAGTTCTGTTTTATCTATACTTCAGGTTATTTCACTTTAGGAAACAAACATGTAAAAAACATTTAATCTACATGTCAAGTTGACAACTAGCCTATTAGTTGCTTCAGGTCTAAAGGACACTAGTCTTTGGGTTGTGGACAGATAAACTTCTTGAGAAACAGATTTTTCACTATTTTCTAAACAAAAAACTAATTAAGTAGTCAGGAAAATAATCATTTTATCCATCATATGCCATTCTAAATGTTATTTAACTAATTTATATTTTTAAATCAACATATTAAGGACAGGTATATCCGACAAGTTTTCATTTAATAGAAAATATGAGATATGTAGAAAAAGATTATTATTATTACAAAAAGAAACACAGAAGAAAAACTATTCATTCAAATATCAATATAATATTTAGAAATGTGTGTAGACTTCTTTTATTTCAGGTGACCTCGTGGAAATCAGTGGTTTCGGAAAATTTCTAAAAGTTCAAAAAAATTAAACTTTGACATCACTAAAAGATGCAAGAAACAGTCTTGATCACCTCTTTGACAATCATGTTTGTTGTCTATCTGACTGACTACAGGTTGATAAAGTACAATTTAGCTCTGAATTAAAAATAATCACAGTGATGTGAAAAATAGTAAAAACATGAGCGCTGTTCTGCCAGTTAACACTGATTGCTTCCAAACTACGATGTATCGTCTAAAACAATCTACAGAAGCTTGGAAATGATCCACCTCATTATTAATGTAATATTAAAACAACACAACAGTTCATAACCTGTGAAGCCGAGTTGGTTTCTGAACTTCTCTGAGCAGCTTCATGAGAAGAATCTGCACCTCATTCATCATAGTTCTGGGATCTAAAAACACAAGATTCATTCATTTATTTATTCTTTCTGCAGATGGAGGAGGTTTTCCTTTAAATATCTGAATATCGTCTCTACATCATGAGGAAGCAGGAGGGCAACATGATCCCAAAAAGGAGAGAATGACAACATGAAGAGTTAATTTATAAATGGATGTTCTCATATGTGGTTTTATCAATAAAGCTGAATGACAACTTGTTTTGTTTGCTGGATTTCTGCCGCGTTAGCTGTTGTGTTCCTACGTTCATGTCGTCTTCTTCAACCTGTAATTACGAGTTGAAAGAAAACTGGTCCCGTAGCTTCTTAGCTTTCCTTTAGGGAATTAGGAATCAGGAGGATCAGGAACAACGGCTCCGACCGCAGTAAGGAATCACTGGTGGCAATAAACGGTCGGGCAACGAGGCTTCAACGCTGCAACTGCTCAGATGTAAATAAAAGCCTGTATTTACACTGATGTCATTTATTCAACTGATTTAAATTAAGTTACAGAAAAGTGAAACTAGCTGCTGTTTGCCTTCGCGAAACAGTAAAGTTTCTGTTTTACATCCTTCTCTTCTTCTGCTCCTGAATCATGATGCTGCCACCAGCGTGCTTTCCAGTGGGGACGGTGTGTTTGTGACGATGTGGAGCGTTTGGTGTCTGGTAAACATAACATGACATGATATGGCTAATCTGCAGGCCTGCTTTATTGCAATGATCCAACTCCTACTCCGTTTTCAGCGTGTAGAATGCAGCCACGAGGTTGTTGTTGTCTGCCGGGGCATTTTTAAAAAACACAATAACATGCTTTTTGTGGAAGGAGACGAGGATCCCTCATGAAATGGAGATGGTGGGCTTATATGAATATAATATGAAATGTAATATGAAATGAAATGAAATGAATGATAAAGTATTTTTCATTCATTTCATTTCAT